CTGTCTTCTGGACATGAAGCCCAGTCAGAATCATCATATGCAGTTATGTCAAGTCTGTCGTGTTTTCAGATTGCAAGTCCATGTCTTAGTGTTCCTCCCAAATATCTGAAAACTCCCTTAAGTGCTTTCCAGTGAGCATCAGTGGGTACTTGGAGAAATTGACTCATTCTGTTAACCGCATATGTTATATCCGGTCTTGTATGAGCTAAATATTGAAGTCCTCCAATGGCACTCCTGTACAGAGTTGGATCCTTCATAGGTTGCCCTTCAGTCTTCGAAATCAGCTTCCCAACTGCCATTGGTGTTTGACTTGGCTTAAGGTTCTCATATCCAAATTTCTTGAGTAGATTAGTGGCATATCTTGTTTGAGTTAGATATAACCCTGCAGCATCTCTATGTATTTCCATTCCCAGAAAATGACTGAGATTCCCCATATCTTTAAGAGCGAAACATGTGTTCAGATTATCAATGACTTCTTACAGCTTCTGAGAACTGCTTCCAGTGATTATAATATCATCAACGTAAACAAGTGCAAAAACCTCGTCCTTACCATCTGCAGAGAAGAAGAGTGAATTGTCTGCTTGGGATTGCTTGAAGTTCCATTTTAGCAAGGTGTTTTTCAGTTCTTCATGCCAGGCCCTTGGAGCCTGTTTTAGTCCATATAGAGCCTTGTCCAGCTTGCACACAGAGTTTGGATTTTCATTATCTACAAAGCCTTGTGGTTGGTGCATGTAGACTGCTTCATTCAGTTTCCCATTTAGGAAGGCATTGTCTATGTCGATTTGTCTGATATCCTAGCCTCTTGTAACAGCTAGAGTCAGAATAATTTTTAGTGTAGATGCTTTAATTACTGGACTGAAAGTTTCTCCATAGTCAATCCCTGGTGTTTGGAGAAATCCCTTAGCAACTAACCTTGCTTTATACCTCAGAATTTCTCCCTCTGTGTCGCGCTTCAATCTGAACACCCATTTGTTGCCAATTACCTTCATTCCAGCCACAGGTGAAACCAATGTCCATGTCTTATTTTTCATTAAAGCATTGTACTCTTCTTGCATTGCTTTCTTCCAGACATTACTTTGTAGAGCATCATCAACATTTAGAGGTTCAGTTCCTATCAGTTCATCCTTTGCCTGACTTGTATAAACATTGGGTTTAAAAATCCCTACCTTGCTTCTAGTGATCATGTGGTGACCTGCATTCTGTGTGATGTTCTGATCCTGGTGCATAAACTCATCCCTCACATTTTGAACTACACAATCATTTTGATTGATATCAGCAACATCTTGATTCAGTTGTTCTGTCTAATCTAACCTTTCACTTTCAATTTCTCTACTTATCTCATACTCAGCCTCTTGAACTGATGCTGTACCAGAAGAGTTTGCTGCAGGTGATACTTCTGAGGTAGTTATATCAGCTGTTCTGTGAGGAGTGGATAAGTGAATAGACTCACTGTTGAAAGGGAGAAGACTTACAACAGCTTGGGAATTTTGTGATTGTGACATTTTGTTTAGGAAACCTGTTTTGAAAGGGAAGTCTAATTCATTGAATATTACATGTCTTGAAATATATATTCTACCACTTGAACTCAAGCATTTATAGCCTTTTTGTGTATCACCATAGCCAAGAAACACACTTCTCTGGGAGTGAAAATCGAATTTATGTCTTTGGTAAGGTCTAAGGCATGGATAACAGGTACAACCAAAGGTTTTGAGAGTTTTATAATCAAAGTCTCTTCCATATAACACTTGAAAAGGCGATTTGTTATTGAGTATAGGAGTTGGCAATCTATTGATCAGGTAAGTGGCTGATTTGAATGATTCCCACCAGTAGTATAGGGTCATTTTTGCTTCTGCCAACAGGGTAAGTCCAGTTTCAGTAATGTGTCTATGCTTCCTCTCAGCTCTACCGTTTTGTGCTAAGGTATAGGGGCATGTATGCCTAACTTCTATGCCAGACTCTGAGGTAGTTTTGGTAAAATTTCTGAATTCTCCTCCAAGGTCAGATTGCAAGGCTTTGATTTTCTTTTCAAATTTGTTTTCTACAAGGTTCTTGAATTGGATAAAGGTACTGAGTGCTTCAGATTTCTGCCTTAAGGGATAGATCCATGTGAATCTACTATGGTCATCCACAAAAATTATATAATACTTGAATCCTGAAGTGGAATTTAAAGGTGCAGGTCCCCAAATGTCAGTATGAATTAGGTCAAATGGTTTTAAGGCATGTGAGGAAGAAGTTTTAAATGGCAGTGCATGTGATTTTCCAAGTTGACATGATTCACAGAAGGCTGAATTTTCATTAACCTTGAAGGATTTATTACATGACTTCACATGGTTTGAAGGGTAGCCTAATCTCCTATGCCATACATTAATTTCAGACTCAGAACACTTGACTGGTTGGACAGACTCATCACACCTAGACTTCACTATGAAGCAGCTAGAATTATTTTGGATTTTTGACTCTGGGGGTTTGAGGCTAGATCTTGGTAACTTCAGCTGATATAACCCATCTTTAAGTACTCCCTGCAGCAGAATCTTCCTGGTTTCCAAATCCTTAACAACACAGAAATTAGAGTAAAATTCCATGAATACACTGTTGTCATTTGTGAGTTACGAGACACTAATCAAGTTCTTTTTAATTTCAGGCACAAGCAGTAGTTTATTTAGTGAAAGGGACTTGTTATTCAGAGAAGGAATACCTCCTTTTCCAACATGTGAAATTTGCAGGGAATTTCCATCACCAATTAGGACTCTTTCTTTACCTTCATATCTTTTAGCAATGGACAAATTTCCTTGATCTGATGTGACATGATTGCTTGCACCAGTGTCTGCGAACCAGGCTGCATCTTCAAACATTTGAGGTGAAGCTACAAAGGCAGTAGGAGTTGAGTTGTTGTTCTGCTGATTCAGATTTCCAAGCCTGCTTCCCATGAATCTATCATCATATCTATTGAAACACCAACTTGCTGAGTGGTTGCTTAAGCCACAGATCTGACACGGTCCTCTGTTTTCATTTAGCCTATTTACTCTGCCCCTTCCTCTAGTTCTTCCTCTATAGTTTCCAGTCCTGCCTCTAAAAAACCTACCACCTCCAGGACTTGTCCTTTGAGTGAGTTGTACGCTTGACTGGCCAACATTGAACGAAGCAAAGTTGCTTCTAACCTGATTCAGATACTCAAGTCTGCTTTCGAAAGTCATTAACACAGATGATAATTCATACCATGATATGGTTTCACGGCTGTTGATCTGCACAACGATAGGAGTATATTCATCATCAAGTCCTGACAGAACATGTGTCACTAGATCACTGTGATCTACTGGTTTTCCAGCAACTTGAAGGTTATCAGCAAGTTGTTTAAGGTTAGTGAGATACTGATCCATAGTCATATGCCCTTTCCTTGTTCTTTGCAATTCTCCTGTAAGAAACATAATCCTTGATCTGTTTAGGATGCCATAACTTTCTTCCACAGCAATCCATAGTGTGCTTGAACTGGTGCATCCCATCACTTTCATTGCTATTTCTGATGTCATGGATGAGTATAACCATCCCATCAACAACTGATCAGTTGAGATCCACTTGTTGTATTCTGGATTTAATGCCATTTCCACTGCTTCTTCTCCATTAGAGGTTGTCTGTGAGGTAAGGAATTCTGTTGGGCATTCCTTTGTTCCAAGCAAGAACCCTTCGAGATTATGGCCTCTGATTATTGGCATAATCATGTTCTTCCATAGTAAGAAGTTGTTCTTGTCAAGTTTGATAGATGGAGTTTGGGTTAGATTCATCCCAAACGGTGAGGTTGCAATTACTCCATTTTGAGCAGATAGTATAGTGCTTGGAGCTGACTGGTTGCTTGCTTCGGTGTTAGCCATTGGGGCTCTGATACCAAGTTTAAATTGGAGCTACTCAGGGATAAATTTGCAGCACAACTTCTTTGGCATTTTATTGAAATTATATAGAGCTATAACCTTTTCTAACAGAATACATATACGGGAATATTGTGGTGAATATATATCTTAATGCCAGGTGGTATAACTGCCTATATTCCTTTTGTACTGGAAGAGCATGTGCACAGGTAATTCACAGAACAATCCGTTAGCCAGCAAATTGGTTGGTAGTGCTGATTGTTTTATCTCATTACTCTAACAGCACTTACTGCCCGAGCATGGGAGGTAGTTTCATGAAACACCCCTGATAAAAGGCCAAGAGAGAGTACAACTCCGCATAAACTGAATATTAAAAGCTTCTTTCGTCCTATCCTGTCAATGAAGTATATGCTAACAATCGAGCCAAAAGCGTTTAGCAGTAAGAAGCAAAAGGAGAAGTGCTGTTTGGTTAGATGCAAAACCAGCCAATTGAACTATGGTGGGACTATAATACATCATAGTGTTTATTCCGACAAACTGCTGGAAGATCTGAAGACCTACACCGGCTATGAGTCCTCTTCGAACTGTTGTTGTTTGTATTAGTTTAATGAAGCTTATATTCTCAGATGATTCTTTTTCCAGTGCCTCTTTCTCGACTGATTCCTTGAGAGCCTGTATCTCAATGCCAACCTCTTCGGATGGATAAATCTTTCTTAGTATCGTTTTCGTTTCCTCTTCTCTTCCCTGCATTTGACATAAGACATTATTGTATATGTTCGAACTCAAGAGAGATGGCGGTATGTCTAGTCAAGTCGAATACCGTCTAGTCCATCTCACCAAACAAACAAGGGATGAAAGCGAGATAATTCAGGTTGCCATCATCTACTAACCTTTCTGTAAAGCCAACGAGGTGATTCAGGGAGGAGCAGCATCAGCACGAATTGCAGGATAGCTGTAGTCCGGCGACTCCAACCATCCAACGCCATGTCCCAGGTACCTAATTTGTAAACATATTTAAAGCTTGATTAATGCGTTCGATGGCATATATTATATCAACTTCGGAGAATTAAAGTAGGTTTATATTTTACCTTAGTAAAAGCTAAGTTGACAAGGTAGGACAAAAAACTGTCCTCCAGTGATGAGGAATCCATTGGTGCTGACTAGGGCACCTCTGACCTTCGCTGGAGATGCTTCCGAGATGTACAATAGGGCTGTCATGGACGCCAACCCGACCCCAAGGCCAATGAAAAAAAAACCCGCCCGATAATGAGAAGAGCGAGATTAGGAGTTAAAGCCATAAGAATCGCTCCAATGAAAAAGAGGAAATCAGCAATGAGGATGACGGTTCGCCATCCGTATTTGTCGTTCAACCATCCCCCAATGGCAGCCCCTATGATGGCTCCAGCAACTGCCACGGTCACAATGCTTTTCTTATTGAACAAATATGAAGCATGCTCAACATTCAAATTTAGGTGAGTAGAAAAGGTGTTAAGTTACTTCATTAATGAATATTATACAAATCATTGATATGTTTAAGGTTGTAAGAACACCACCAGGTTGCACTGTAGTACTAGTAATCTAGTATGGCTTGTTTGGAATAGTGGAGTCAATAAGATGTACAACTTTATGTTTACTTTATTCACCTAACGAGATATAAAGCAACAAGAACCACATTTTGTTAATATAGTTGCATATCGATTATGGTTCAAAATCTGACTGAAGACTTGGAACAACCCATTTGAAAATTAGATTTGACAAAATGAGTAGATAAAGTTTGACTTGATTTTACGCTTGACTAAAACTGCTGTATCATATACTCATTAACCAGAACAGCTAAGAAAATTTATTGGGGATTGTACTAAGAAAGTCAATACTAATTAAATATTTATATAAACATATTTTTTTCTTTAATTCCTATGTCTGTAAATTATTAGTCACTTATAATTATACGACAAAATAATTTAAAGTTCGCAATTTATAGCAGAAAAGGAGGTGAAATACCGGCAGCACCCCTCACTTATCAGTAACAGTTACCAATATCAGTAGGACATTACAATTAATTCCTTTATAATATTGATAAATTTTTGTTCTACTAACCTGCAGAACAGTCTCCCTATCCACAGACTTGAAGTCATCTCTTATATACAAAGGTGCACCTGATATAACTCCTGCATCATTTATATACACACAACAAAATAAGTATTATTTTCGATAATTTAGGGTCCGTTACATGCTAATCCTTTTTTGCCACTCGATTTCAGTTCATTACTAAATCTAGCAAGTCACTTGTAGGTGACAACTTATCGATCTCCTGTAACTCTTTCGATCCTCATTTTCTTTTTCTTTTTTACTTAGAACTAGAACCGTTATGAAAAACATAGGCAGTTGAGATATATGCACACGTAAACTGCAACTCTTTCTTTACTCGGACATCGAACTCGCTATGAAAAACATAGGTGCGGTTGTGATAGTATATGCACACGTATACTGCAACTCTTTCTTTACTCGGACTTGGAACTGGCTATGAAAAACATAGGTGCGGTTGTGATAGGTACATACATATATAGATGTGTGTGTGAGATGAAAAGGGACCTGTGTCATAACCAAAGAGGAGGCCACCAATGCCAGCAGAGAAAGCAAGACGAAGAACGTAAGGATTCTTCCATCACAGTGACAAGAGTACCAGTCACTTCTGCACCATTTTTCCAAAATGGTGTAGAGTCCAATTTGCAAAAAGAATTGTTGAAGGGTATTTGTGTCATTTTTGTTATATATTTTTTAATACTATTATTATTATTATTTGCATTTAAAATAAATTTTAAATGTTAAAAATAATAATTATTGAATTAAGTAAAATAAGAATAAATTTTTTTTAAAATATAACTAACACGATTATTTGTAGTTAACACGAAATATGTTACAATCGAACGTATTGTTGATGCACCAGTTTGAGAATGGATGGAAATGATTAAACACTGTTCATTTGGTGTAAGTTTTGGTATAATGATTGGAGATGAATTTTATTTTGGTGCAAAATGGTGCAAAATTTGGTGAAGCGCTAGAGATGGCCTGAACGTTGTAGTATCTACATCTGTATGTATACCTCCTTCCATTTTTGTCTACTTTAAGAAGGAAAAAAAACACTTTTTTCTATTTTCTCTTGTTATACATACAAACACATTTTTTATAGACTTCTATCATTCATTTGAATGCAGAAATATGTACTTCAACTCACTGAAAAAAGTTGCAGATGAAGGGTACAAGAAGAAAGAGGGGTGCACAGAGTATTTTCAGTGTTTTGAGGTGGGTCGAGTAGGGGTACGTTCATATATAGAGAGATTGAGAGAGAATAAGAGAGTGAAAAATGCAAAAATAAAATAAATAAATAAAAATAAAATTTGGTGTTGGGGTGTTGAGGGTAAGGGTTGAGGGGACTGGGGAACTATATATACAGGGCTGAGAACATATCCAATAGACTTGTTATCTACAAATAGTCATCATTTGGTCTTTTGTTTTTTGTTCGGATTTGATTGAATAAATTGTTGAGGAAATTAGACTATGTACTCTAAATATAAAACACTTTTGAAAAATCAGGTGAAAAATAATTACAAAGTATAAAATACTGTAATTTTACATTAATTTTAGCCCGTCAACAAAATAAACCCTAGANTTGACTTGATTTTACGCTTGACTAAAACTGCTGTATCATATACTCATTAACCAGAACAGCTAAGAAAATTTATTGGGGATTGTACTAAGAAAGTCAATACTAATTAAATATTTATATAAACATATTTTTTTCTTTAATTCCTATGTCTGTAAATTATTAGTCACTTCTAATTATACGACAAAATAATTTAAAGTTCGCAATTTATAGCAGAAAAGGAGGTGAAATACCGGCAGCACCCCTCACTTATCAGTAACAGTTACCAATATCAGTAGGACATTACAATTAATTCCTTTATAATATTGATAAATTTTTGTTCTACTAACCTGCAGAACAGTCTCCCTATCCACAGACTTGAAGTCATCTCTTATATACAAAGGTGCACCTGATATAACTCCTGCATCATTTATATACACACAACAAAATAAGTATTATTTTCGATAATTTAGGGTCCGTTACATGCTAATCCTTTTTTGCCACTCGATTTCAGTTCATTACTAAATCTAGCAAGTCACTTGTAGGTGACAACTTATCGATCTCCTGTAACTCTTTCGATCCTCATTTTCTTTTTCTTTTTTACTTAGAACTAGAACCGTTATGAAAAACATAGGCAGTTGAGATATATGCACACGTATACTGCAACTCTCTTTCTTTACTCGGACTTGGAACTGGCTATGAAAAACATAGGTGCGGTTGTGATAGGTACATACATATATAGATGTGTGTGTGAGATGAAAAGGGACCTGTGTCATAACCAAAGAGGAGGCCACCAGTGCCAGCAGAGAAAGCAAGACGAAGAACGTAAGGATTCTTCCATCACAGTGACAAGAGTACCAGTAACTTTTGCACCATTTTGGAAAAATGGTGTAGAGTCCAATTTGCAAAAAGAATTGTTGAAAGGTATTTGTGTCATTTTTGTTATATATTTTTTAATACTATTATTATTATTATTATTTGCATTTAAAATAAATTTTAAATTTTAAAAATAATAATTATTGAATTAAGTAAAATAAGAATAAAATTTTTTTTAAATATAACTAACACGATTATTTGTAGTTAACACGAAATATGTTACAATAACCACATACCTACATGATTATCGAGGACGAACGTATTGTTGATGCACCAGTTTGAGAATGGATGGAAGCGCCACGTCCGGAAGTTGAGTTGATTGAAGACGAAAATTATCGTTTTCAAGAATTCTTTGCTCGGCATAGACAAATCACGGATACAGATGCTCACATTGCACTTCGAAATGCATTAATCGATCATTTGTGGGAAGAACATACGAATTCCGAAAATTAAATTGCAATGATTTTTCGACTTCATATTTAGTAATTTAATATGTTTTAATAATATATTTATTAATGAATTTAATATTTTCCTTAATTTAATGTAATTATTTATTTAGTAATTTATATATTTCTAAAATAAATAAATAAATAATATTCCGAATAAATAAATTACTAAGAATAAAAAAGAGAAGAAAATGATTAAACACTGTTCATTTGGTGTAAGTTTTGGTATAATGATTGGAGATGAATTTTATTTTGGTGCAAAATGGTGCAAAATTTGGTGCAGCGCTAGAGATGGCCTGAAAGTTGTTGTATCTACATGTGTATGTATACCTCCTTCCATTTTTGTCTACTTTAAGAAGGAAAAAAAAAACCCTTTTTTCTATTTTCTCTTGTTATACATACAAACACTTTTTCTATAGACTTCTATTATTCATTTGAATGCAGAAATATGTACTTCAACTCACTGAAAAAAGTTGCAGATGAAGGGTACAAGAAGAAAGAGGGGTGCACAGAGTATTTTCAGTGTTTTGAGGTGGGGCGAGTAGGGGTACGTTCATATATAGTGAGATTGAGAGAGAATAAGAGAGTGAAAAATGCAAAAATAAAATAAATAAATAAAAATAAAATTTGGTGTTGGGGTGTTGAGGGTAAGGGTTGAGCGGACTGGGGAAGTCTGTATATACAGGGGCCGAGAACATATACAATAGACTTGTTATTTACAAATAGTCATCATTTGGTCTTTTGTTTTTTGTTCGGATTTGATTGAATAAATTGTTCTCTATTATAGCGGGCCAGAGGGCTCTTTGTATCTCATCTCCTTGGGACTCGAATTTTATAAAGGGAACAGTACACAAAATCTACATATAAGAATTACTTTTCAAAACTAACAAATTCATTTTATTATTTCAAAAATCAGGTGGTAAATAAATTTATTAAATATTAAATTATAATATAATATAATATATATTAATTATTTACACCCCATGACACCTCACTCACCCCATCACCCCACTACACCACCTCCTCCATCTCCGGAACCGCTCGGGCCACTGCTCTAGCGACGGTTCGGCCATTGCTCCGGCGACTTCTTCGACGATCACTCCGACGAATATTCCGGCGACCGCTCCGACGATTTCAAAATTTTCAAAAAATTGAAAATCACACCCCTAACACATGGATCCACCTACCATTGCCCCCACCCCTGCCTCTATCTCCTAAAAAAATTACCAGAAAAATTTCAAGTCACTTTATAATCAGTGACTAATTGTGATCAAGCGTGTATTCAATGTGACTAACTGTGATCAAATTAGTGTTCAGTATGACTATCTGTAACCAATTTTGTGCTAATTGTGACCTATTGTGACTTGATTATGATCGAGTCACAATTGGTCACAATGAGTCACAATTAACCATTCACAAACGGTCACAATCGGCCACAATCGGCTATAAACGGTCACAAGCAGTCACAATCAGTGACAAACGATGAATATCGATGAAACGAATACTTCTTTAGTCCAACTGGTGTTAAACACAAGTTATTTAGAACACTACCCATAACCCATTATCACAACATAAGCAGCATGTAACATAAAAAGTACATAAAAAATTGAGGATAAAGTAATTTAAAGAAAATTCGTTTTGTTTACCAGAAATTTCATAAGACAATTAAGGCAGTCCAAGATTTGCTGCATCAATAGATTAAGGAAAACAAGTTTCTACCATAGATAAACTTTAAAGAAGAACAAAAACGATGAAACTATTCAAATAAGCAACAAAATGAAGCAACGACTGACTTAATTAATTTCGGGCTTTTTGCAGAGAATCATGTGCATAGGAGTGAAAATTCCAGTCTCACTGCCTCTAGTCAGGTAATTAGGCACGTGATTGAAAGTGCCTCGAGAAAATACTTGAATTTCCTTTGAAGGGAATCCTTTTTTTTTTTGGAAAAATATCCCAGCTTGAAAATCCAAGCCGTAGGATATGAATTTATTACTGAAAAATCAATTACAATGTGAGGAGGGGGACGAATGTGCCTTACCTCCTAAAAAATTACAAATTGTAATCTACAAAGACTATTGATGAATTACAAATCATGCAACAAAGCTAAAACGGAAATAAAATGCAAGGTCTAATTAAGAAACTACTCTAATAGTTTCCATACCAATTTTATCAAGTTACACAATACCTTTGATTCTACCAATGACTTCCTTATCTTCAACCAATTTAAACTTTCTTTCCCCATATCCTTTGGTAGCAAACCAGTCGGCAGCTTGGTTTCCTTCTCTCCAAGTGTGAGTAACTTTATTCTCCATCTTCTCCAAAAGCCACCGAATGGATTGTAGGATATATTGAACTCCTTATGGTCCATTGTTTTGTTTAATCAAGGTTAGTGCCGCCTTTGAATCAGTCTCTACCCAGAATTTCATAATATCATGGGTCCAGCATAGTTGTAGTCCAATCTCAATAGCTCTTAGTTCAGCTTCCAAAATCGAGCATTCTCTATAGCAATCATAAAATCCACATATTACATTTCCCAAGTTGTTCCTCAAAAGTTCGATTTCAAAGCCCCACCCATATTGAGTTTATGCCATCATGTATCTAGTTTATCCCACTTGACTGCTATAGGTTTTTTGCACTTGCTACTCCCGGTCTGTTTGATCCTCCCTGCCCTTTGAAGTGCATTGATCAGGACATCGATTTGCTTGATAATCCCATCAGCCTTCATTGGATGGTGTTTATGTTTAGCATTGTTTCTGGCCATCCAAAGAAACCAGATGGTTACCAAAGGAACAATAGATCTGACCTCACCAGGTTTTACCTTATTCTGCAGGAACCAGTGCATAAGCATAGCTCTTGGATGACCACATCTAATGTCTTGAACATCCATAGCCTTACAGAAATGAGACCAGACCTCCCTAGCAATTATACCATCCAAAAATACATGATTGATATTTTCTGAGTTACCACAACACTGACATTTGGAGGCTAATTGGATGCCAAATTTATTCGGAATGATTTCCTCAACTGGTAACCAATTATGCCAAAGTCTCCAACCTAAAAAAGCAATTTTTTTAGGAATACTCTTATCCCAAATATGTTTATACGCCAATTGTCTGACTTCCTCTGTCTGAATGGATTAATACAAGAAGAGATGGTGAAATGAAGGAAGGAATAATAGTTAATCGCCATTGCCTATGGGTATCAACTCTTCGATAAGCATTCAGTTGGGGTGACTTGAGCCTTGAGAGAATACTTAAGTTTCCTCTTAAGAGAATACATATAAATATTTGACCATAGAGTTATTGCTATGACTCACCAATTCTTCCGTAGGCACGCGATTATAGGTTACTTGAGAGAATATCTATCTTTCTTTTAAGAGAATATGTTATAAACAAAAAAATTATTGTTTATGAACTATCGATTCTTCATTATTCATGCAATGAATTGGACTAGTCATGTACTTTCATATAACGTAAAAATATTTATAACTAGTCTTGTTAAAAGAACGATTAGCTTTGCTGATTGAAACTTACATTTGCTCGCTATGATATTATGTTTTTTATACAAGAGCTCTTTGTATCTCAAGTATTTTCATAGAGAAATCCCTTCCACTCCTTAGAGTTTGTGTTCTATTTCATTTTCTAACTCTAATTTATTTTTTAGGGTGCGTTTGATTGTCAATATTTTTCATGAAAATTGTGTTTTTTTACCTAATTTCATACTTTTGTACTGTTTGATTGACAAATTTTTCACGGATTATTGGTCCTTTAGCTTCACACTGGCTGCCAATTTTTTATAGTACCACATGATTATTGATCCTTTTCGCACCAAAATTTAGTTAGCAGTTAAACACTTGGGCTAAAGGAAGAGAAGTGACAGGATTGCCATTTTAATAGCACTGGCATGTATATGGCATCACTTTTTTGGTGGTAAAGATAATTGCAGGGTAAAGTACTATTACTTGGGGGTAATTGTGATTTTGTTGCTTCCACGGGATTTTTCGAGTGTGATGGCAGCGTCAAAATGCACAAGATTTGGAGGTGTGATGTGTAACGAGTTCAAAAAAGGAGTGACAATGTGCCTAAAATTGTTAATATGAACTAGCTGGTTCCCTTTTATGTTATTTTTTGGGAGTTGAGAAGGGCAGCGTGCCAAAGATAAAATCCACTACACTTTCCAGCACCACAGTTTAAGCACTACTAATTATCTAGGACCTAACTAGCAAAGATTTTGCCTTCAACATGAATTGGGCGCACGTTCTGTCGAGTCTTTCTATAACTAAAAATCCTGTTACCTTTGATGGTCTAAAAATTGTAATTCTTATCCAATTTATTCGAGTGAGCTACTATCAATATTTTATTACCAGACAAATTCTAGTGGTTCAGAAAAGGAAAAACAAACTCTAGGATACTTCATACTTCAAAAGGAAGAATCCCAATTAAAAAGGAAAAAGGGCACGACAAAATTGGTGTGATATTCCTTACATCTTCAAGTTTGCTTTGACATTCCAAAAGTTCCTGGCAGTATGTGAGGCAATCTGCATGGTATACTGCTGCCAAGTGTTTAATCAACACCTTCCTTCGGATAATACCAATCCCTTACAAGAACCAGAAAAACAAATGTTCCCGTGTGAGATGCTAACATGCATAATTTCCATAAGAAGCATATTCTATTGTCATTGCATTATAAACTACACCTCACTTCAAAGCCTGAAGCTTGGCGAAAGACTCACACTACAAAAAATTTAAAGAACCATATCCGGATATTAATTTACACAACACAATTTGAATATCAATTCTGATCCCTACAGAATTCTCTGTATTGGATTCATTTATTTCCCTTAGATCAGTGTTCAGCATATCATTCTCAAAGAATTTAGGGTCCGTTTGATTGCAATGGTGGAAAATGAGTGGAAAAAAAATATTTTATAGGAAATTGATTTTCTTAGAAAATGTTTTACTAGGAATTGTAATTAATTGTGTTTGATTTGTAT